AGGAAAAAAAGTAGGAAACTTAATCATGTTTATCGCACAGTATTACAATATTTTGTACTTATATATAGGATAACCGGGGTTCGTTTCGTTTTATGAACTTGTTTCGTTCAGTGTTGCTAACGGCGGTTTATTCCTGAAAGGATTTGCCATTTCGATGTTACCGGAACCAGAACAGAGTTTTCTAAACTAAGAAAAAGCCTTCTCCCAACATTTTCATAATTATACATCGATGAGGTTACAGGGTGGTATGTGATGATTTGTATTTATTCATAAGGTATGTATGCATGCGTTGATCACATTATTTCTGTAACGATACCATCTTATTACGGTTTAATTAGTTCCGCATGTCGAAACCTGCTGAACGATTAAATGATCGCATCAAGGGCAAAATCATCATGGAAGTTAGACCTAGCCGGGGCCATAAGACATGTCAGATAAGAAACGAGGCCCAGGCTAGGTCTAATGTTGTTGGACTACTAACTTGGTGGCTCTTCTTTGTACTTTTTCAATTTTAATGATGTCTATCAGTATTTGTATAGGTTGAAGACCACAGTAGAGTTTCCCATAGGTGGCCATTATAACATTTTACCCTGTATCTTATTAACGATTAGTATCCATGCCTAGTGCAACATACCACAGTGTTCGGGAGAGACTCGCCTAGACTGCTATAACAATCTTACCATGGGTTGTCCACCGAATTTTTGAGATAAATAAACTTGAAGACACTAACCCCCTCTATCGTCAGATTTCTCAGAGAATTCTGGTAAAATCACCAAGGTCAAAATCACTCCACCGCCAGCTTAAAATGAGATTTCCCACTGAACTTTGGCATGTTTTCAGATAAATCAGGACCTACCTTATAAATATTTAGTCCCAATTCACTTCCCAAACGCCAAATGGCGCTCCAATGGGGTAGGAAAGGAGAAAAATGACTTTTTATACAGAAAACCAAATCACTAACGGTAACCGCTAGTGTCCTTACTCAGGACTATATCCATAAGGACTCCATATACTATTTCCATACTCAAGGTGGGGTCTAACGAGGGATTTGTAGAGAAGTGGTAGGGTGGTTTTGTCCAGATGAGAAAATGTCCTTTTTATTAATCCGAGGATGCTGTTTGCCTTGGCTACTTGTATGTCGATATGTTTACATCATGATATACCATGACATCTCATTTCTTCTCAGCCCTGAGATGCCATGATATAATGAGCTTGATTTGGCGATCCAGGAGAGCCCAAAATTGAGGATTTTTGAGATCTTTCATCCCAGCTCATATTTCATTTAATTGGGGTCATTAAACCTGTGTACACGTACCTGTACTAATATCTGCTGTTAAATACAATGCCTATTATGCAATGTATTGACATTAGGTAAATGATTACATGATAACTATCATACTTATTGACAGTTATAACTCTTCCCATCTGATGTGCTCAGATCACAGAATATGCCTCATAATATCAGAGCATGTTTCAGGTGAAACAGAAAGATGCTATGAGCATCAGAATGATATGTTTATGAAACTTAAGTTGATTGTCTATGTTGATTCCAAGATCTTTTTCTAACACTGTCTGTTGTAGGGTTTTATTGTCCATGGTATACTCCTGATTATCATTTTTGTTTCCTAAGTGCATTACTTTACACTTGTCAGTATTAAAGGGGAGTTGCCAATCTTTTGACCATTTTGTCATTTTATCTAAGTCCGATTGTAATTGGTCTTCCTGGTTTTGTACACAACCATAGTTTAGCATCATCTGCATACATTAGTATTTTGTTCTTTGTAGCATCTGGGAGGTCTCTGTATTTAGGATCATATAGAATTGTATAAGGAATGCCACAATCTCTTATTTTCCACTAACAGCCTTGTATTTTTGTCTGATACATAATCTTTACATTTATTACAAACCTGTCAATGTGTAGCTAGGCCTATATCAAGTGCCACACCCGCTTTCTTCCTTCTCCTCATCTGGTTCGATGTGACACCTGAGATAGTACTGTATATACAGAAAAATGTAGGAGGGGTTGCTTTAGATGTACATCTTTTCTTGATTTTTTATTTACCATTACATAGTCTGGACCCCTTGCATGAGCAATCCCCACACAGCCCTTCCAGATGACTTGCAGCATTGACATTCTCTGGACCTCATTATATGAACCCCGTAAGACTTGACTGCTTTGATCTATGACCTTCAATACCAATTTTTAATCTTCTAAAAGATGCATCTTAATAAAATTAGTTTTAGTGCTTTTTCAGAGAAAGGCTGACTCAAATTTCTGTCCTCTTTCAATAATTCAATTTCATTTCCCTCTTACCATACTTTATTTTTATAAAAATATCATTAAACTATTGAAATGGGATAACCATACAGACGCACATTAGTGTATCGAAAACCAAAACACCGATGCGCTCTGTACACCGTTACCGACGTGCATTGTACCGAAAACCTAAATACCGATACCGAAACCATGATATACCGATGTGCACTGGCCGAAAACATTTAATCTCTCAGGCCCTAAACGAGGTGATTGGCTCAATTCTGGAACACATCGATTTGAGAAGACGAGGTTAGGTTTCCAATGGTGTGTGGAATGTTTGGGTACTGCTTTTTCATATCATAACAAAAGCTGTACGTATATGTTATATATTTTAAGATTATTTAATTATAAATCATTAAAGTTCTATGCCACAGGCTGGTATCGAAAGATTTGTCCGCTGTGACGGAGCATGCTATTTTTCATAAAAACACTAAGAACGCTTCACGATTTTTTTTTAACTCATATGTTTCGTTATATCAAAGATAATTACTTACTCCATGCAATGGATATATCATTTGCGTGTAACCTTCACTTCTGTTTGAAGTCCAATAACGCTAGGAGTAAAATCTATTGAAAACGGCGCCAGAGTATCAAACTCTAAAATGTACCATTTCTTTTTTAGCTTTTTAATGGCATGATATAGTGACACGATAATATTAACATATGTTTTCAGCATAACTCTGAATGTATTAATGAGATATTTATGCATTGGGTCTTTTTAATTTTTTTTATAAAAAATAATATTAATATTTTTTATCCGCTGTGACGGAGCATTTTCACAGTTCACATTTGCAACTGCTCCGTCACAGCGGATTAAAAAATTAAACATTATTTTTTATAAAAGAATTAAAAAGACCAAATACATCAACATCTCATTCATACCTTCATTGTTATGCTGAAACCATGTGTAAATATTATCGTGTCACTATATCGTGCCATTAGAAAGTTAAACAAGAAATGGTACATTTTGAAGTATGATACTCCGGCGCCATTTCCAATAGCTTTTCTTCCCAGCGTAATTGGACTTCAAACAGAAGTGAAAGTTACCCGCAAATGATATATCCATTGCATGGAGTAAGTAATTTTGTATGGTATAACGAAACATATGAGTTAAAAAATAAATCGTGAAGTATTCTTAGTGTTTTCATGAAAAATAGCATGCTCCGTCACAGCGGACAAATATTTCGATACCAGCCTGTGTATGCGTGACACTTAATTTCTCAGTCCCTGGACGATTGAATTGATAAGAAGGCTGGATAAGCTTTCCAATGATATGCTGTATATGTGACTTAGCCGTTTCGAATCATTGACAGAAACCGTATGCAATGTTGTCAGTCTGAAAAAACGTTTTGTCATCTATTGATTAAAGCCCGATGCGTAACATTTAACTTTTCGAACTTTTGATTCACTTCTCTTAGGAGAAATGCCATTAATGTACAGGGTGACACAAAAATGCCACCCATATTATGTTGCATAAGTTTTTTGCCTGCATAATATCTAAATTGTTCTTCAGCACCAAAAGGATCGACTCCCAGAATGCAATCTCAATGTTTTCCAACGATAAAACTGTCAGAATGTCGCTAATGTCTGACATTAAACTGGTTATTCTATAATCAGCAATCCAATAGATTCGAGCGTATATCTTGATCACGTGTGTGTTCTCATTTTATTACAAGACCAAAACTCGCTCTTCTCTGAACAAAAATTTCCAATTAGTCTATCCACTTTTTTCAGATATGGAATCCATTCCAAACTGCACTGGGGTACTCTATATCTTATTAGACATTCAAAAGGGAAAAATGATAATCTGAATCATCTTAAACACTTTACTAGGAAGGGGGGGGGGGGCGGTATAAGATATGGGAATCATTACTAGTATTTTGTCAAATGAGAGTTAACGAAAGTTGTAATTTGCACCCAACTCATCATACGTCTTGTTCCGTTGCCATTTCTCCTATGTTCCAATGCAATATATACACCATATTCACATCATACAAAGTGTCATTGTCTGCTTAATTGTATTGTGTTTTGTTTACCACCTAATTCCAATAAAGGTAAGTAATACTTCTTCGTGTATATAAGAATTAAGAACAATTTGAAAAATTATGAATAGGTACCCCATGTCAACAATTTTTTTCGAAATGTTGAATCTATTTACTCAAAAGAGAATCTTCTTGGGTCTAACGCTTCTTCAATCAAAAGTAGAATGATTTTGAAAGTCTGGTTTTGAAGATATCAATTTTCGATGACCAAAATTATGCTGAAAACAATGAAGCCTGAATTTTTCATATGGGAAAATAACATGGGATATGTGGTTTTCAACTTTAGTGCATTTCAAAACCCATTGTCATTTCAGAAATTGTTAATATAGTGTAGAAGAAACTTTTGATGTTTAAATTGAGAAAACAAGATCCTCTCTTTAGAAAATAAACCAAACATTTTTTTAAAAAGTGCCAAGGTGGGGTCCTAATCCATAATTTTCAGTGAGTTGGATTAATATTTTTACTATCATGGGGAGTTAACTTGAAAGAAAACATGTTGTTTTATAATTCAGAACACCTGTTAAAATTCTTTTTATTAATTTGTTACAGACACCAACCGCCTTATGCCATCCACAAATAAGTTGGAGATAATCACAATATGTCAAAACTTCTGGTGAGGACATAACAAGGCCATGTATGATGTATCCATCTGTTCAACGATGCCAAAGTCCGTTCCACTCTAATTTCACAGACTATCAAACATCAAACAGAATACACGATGTACATTTGTACCACAGACAGTCTATATTCTTATTATAAATATACAGAGAAATTTATGCAGCAGCATTGGAGTTGGGTCCCCTCCTGCGTCCGAATGTGGCTACTACATTGACGAAGCGTCTGTTGTACTGCATGCGCCTCTTGGCACGTCCAGTCCTCTTCTTCTTTTTCTCTTGGGCCTCAACCTGAAAACACAGATATTGACAGTTAACATTGAAATCAGAAATGATAATGAACATTGTCAAGTATGAGTCTACCATTTTGAATTTTTGTGAGTTTTGTGAGATATTTTACTCTAGCCTCACTTCTGAACATTGTTTTAACCTATAAACTGTGGTAGCTGTTCAATATGCATTAGCCTTTCAAAAACTAGAATCAAATCGATATGGATTACAAAACATGCTACTATTATTGACATACATAAGGACACAGAGGTAAAAGTGAGTGGTTACAATAACTTACCATGTGAACTTACAAAAAAGAAGGAAGTATTGTACCAGATTCATGATTTTAATTTTCATCAAGGGCTTTTATTTTGAGAGAAATAATAAGATTTTTTGGTCTAAGTGTATTCAAAACAAAAGTTTTCAAATGACAATACACGTGGCGTATTTCCTCTAAAAAGCGAACAGTGCACGCCCAAATACAACATTGATATTGAGAAATTCTTAAGACAATATATATGAAAACTTAAAGAGAAAATTATTGCCGATAATTGGTAAAAATTCAGTAATACCCCGTTTCAACTTATTTTTAGCCAACATCACTACCCTATATGCACTCTACAGCTCCCACATTACTCTGGTTCGAATGTAATCAAGAATGTATCAAAAAATATCAAAGCCCTACAGGAAAGAGTAAAATCTTGTTTGTTGGTATAAGTCAATTTTCATGGGACAGAATTTGCCATTAAGTCACATGTGCACTCTCCAGGGCACTCCTCAGAGAGAATATTGTATATCATAAAAAATTTACTTCAATTTTCCATTTTTCTTCAATTCAAATTCACTCCATACATAAGCAGCAAAAGTGTCTAACCAGTGACCTATTTGTATCCTAAATTTCATTCATTTACCTTTGGGGTCTGTCCCTTCACCTTTCCAGCACGAGCCAGGGATCCGTGGACCTTTCCTAAAAGTAAAATTTGAACATTTCACAATAGGTCATTTTTCTTCTTACAAGGTACAACATCATAGTTATTGTAATCATGGGCTTTCAACAAAATAGCTCATGTTGTAATTCAATGATATATTTCAATGTACTTTACTTCATGACAATTTATGGTATTTCGCTCAGAATAAGGCTTTTCTCTTCTCTAATTCATTCAGAGACTCTAGTCCAGTTCACCTTTAATTCATCCTTGCAAAAAAAAGCCATGTCAGATTCAATTAACTTCAACCATATTCAAATCTAAAGTAGATTCTCTGTAAAACATAACTTCTCTTTTATTCATGTAGAAGTATAGTAGACATTTGACAATTAACACAGAATCTACACTCAAAATCATATAATACAAAAATACTTACCTCCCAGCATACGTGTCTGTACATCAATGGTGGAGAGCTCGTCAAAGCTGGATAGAAGAGTGGCATCTTCTAAAGGTTTTCCTCCATACAAGACAACTTGGTCTTCTACTGCAATGCCCTCTGAGGCAGCAATCTGGGCCTGAAATATTAGCAGATTACATGTATATTTATATTAAGACCAATGCATATGCATTTTTCAATAAAAATGTGTTGTACTTAGCTCATATTTATATTAAAGGCCGGTTTTAAAGTTGCTAGCAACTCTCATTACAATAACAGGTTACATCCATACTTCAACATGGCACAGATAGTCAGGATTAATAAGTTTAATTAACAGCATTGCTAAATACTTGATTTTGATTGGCTAATCTTGAGGACTTTTAAATTTGAAAAATGTTATCAGTGTTTTTAAATGTCCTATCACAATCCAACAAAATAATGAAGTTGAAATCTAACTGCAGAATATGAACTTAAAAACATTGAAAGATACACATAACAAAATTGGAACCAATACATCTTCTCAATCAATATGAAATATGAGAAAATTGACAAGCTTTGTGAAAATATCAAAAATAGTTATTTTGGCTGTTCCATTTATCTGCCTCCTATTTATACCCCATGTCCCTCTTTAAGACAAATGCACATGCATTTTTCAATCAAACACTCATAATGTGTTGTACTTAGCTCAGTATAAGGCTTTTCTCTTCTCCAATTCATTCAGAGACTCTAGTCCAATTCACCTTAATTCATCATAGCAATTAACAAGTGTGCAGTTTTTATAACTGTGTATAGCAAAGGAGTTTCTTACCTTTACATGGCCGACTGTCTCTGTGCCAGTTACATTAACTGTGTGGGTCTCTTGAGCCCTGATGAACAGCTGCATATTTACCTGGAAATGAAATGGTAGTTATAAACATTAGACAGTAAGTAAATGACAGATTTCAGCAGTATAATGAATTTCCACCAGACAATAACTTATTTACAAAAAAGACCGCTCCATCTCATCGTTTCTCAAAGTTTATCGCAAGACCACATACACATGACCAGGAATGTAAGTTGTGCACAATATCTAATTACGATATTGATCTTTATTGAGTTAGTGAAATGAATGGAGTACCCTTGTAAGGTAAAAACTGATCTCTTACTACAACCACTTTTATTGAACATTGACCATCTCAGACAACAAAACGTTTTAGGAGTACTGGTGCAGTAGTTTTGAAGAGAATCTTGTGCAACAGTTGTGATTTATTTCTTTCAAGCCGTCATGATACCCGGCTTTTGAAGTCAGATACAAGAATCGATATCTGTTCACTGCGCTCAGCCAAGTGAACGATGATCGTAGGTAAGTGACAGTCGCATTCTTAGTCAAGATCTTATATTTTTGGATTTGACTGACGCAGGGAAAAAGTGTAGGCCTATAAAAAGCTATACTCAGAATCTGAAACTATGACAACCAACGTAAAACGTTCCTGTCATCAGCCTCCTCAAGTTTTACAAGAATGGTAGCCTGATCACAGTAAACTGAAAAATAACCAATGTAACAAAAGATCCGACATAGGATGGAACTCAAAAATTGTAAAAAATCAAATATTTCTTACCCCTGATTTTGCGAGAAGATTCTCTAATAATCCAAAGACGGTTTAACTATATTTTAGCGAAAAGTGGGGAATAATGTCTTATATTCACAGCGATTATGTCAAGATCTTATAAAATACCGTTTCAGGTGAGTTTTTAAGGAAAATCAAAGTGTACTTACACGTGCTTGTGCAACAAAATATGGCGGAAATGAAAAGACTGCGCAACAAACTCGCGCACATGAAAAACGAACACCAAATATTATTTTGCAGGTGATAATGAAATAGTTTGTAAAAGCTAGACAAAATACAATTTTCTTACAATACTATTGTAAAATAACAATATGAAATTAAATTTCTGTTCTTCACTTTATTTCAAGAGGATATTTTTCACAATATATGTTTTCACTAATATTGAGCCCTAGTGTCTTCATGATCTACACATATATTGATGACGTATTTCACATATGAGTTGGTACAAGTTTTGAAAATAAGTGATATATTCGCATTTTAAGTGGAAACCATGACGTTATCATTGTAGAGAAACAAGTGTGGTGGTGACCATGAGTATAAGGTCACAGATTGGAGCAGATTGTATCATGAATTAGTGTAGATATTTGCCAATCACCTCATCAAGCTCAAAATGTCTTCAGATGAGAATTTCTCAGAGAGGCAAGAAGAGGAAGTGCAAGTGCTGCAAGCCATATTTATGGATGATGTGAAAGACTTGCGAGCCGAAGATGCATGGAAAGTAAGTTGTTAAGCTATGAAACTGTCTTTTAGTTTTAGACAGTTGCGAGCACATTGCCGCAGCAATCTGACGAGGTTCCTTTTATTGGTTAGGTTTTTTGAGTATGCGCAGTGGAAGTACCATGATTGTAATTGGTTCAGTTTTATTTAGTACATCAAATTCGAAGCCTGTTGATATTCTGTCATTACACTTCTTTTGTTGTTGTGTTGCATAAGCCGCTGTTTCCTCGGCAGTTGGTCTCTTCATTGGCTTTCAACTAACTTGTACTGTATATTCTCTTTGTGCTCTTTCAAAAAATTCTCTTAAATTCTCACTTGTTGCACATATTTTTCTTTTGGATGTATGCTTTTTGTTTTTACATACTCAAAAATATTCCCACAATATATGTGGTGCATTATGGGTAGACAATACTGTGAAATAATGGACATTAGTGACTTCTATCCAAAATATATGTCGTAATTAAGTTATTGACTGCACATGCATTGTAATTCAAATATCTGGATTTGATGTGCATGATAAAAAACTGAATCAAAAAATCGAACCTCGCTCAGATTTCCCATAGTGAAATGTCACTGGTAGATGTAGCTTAGAAACCTGAAGTGCTATCTAAAGGGAGACATTGTGTATAGTCTAGTTTGGTTACAGTGTATATAGGAGGAGAGAAATAATATATATAACTCCAGGGCTTGCATTAACGGCGTCCCGTACATGTTAAGGACTCAAAAATAATTTGGAGGACGCAAAAATTGAAAATATTTCCGTTTTTTGGACGCAAAATTTTTTTAGGTCAATACTACAATGTGTTTACAACGATACCTAACAAAAACAAATAATTATGATCTCTCACATTTATTTGAATTGTAAATAACGCTCAACATGTTGAATATTTACAAATAATCATGATTCTCTCGAATTTTTTCGACTTTGTTTATTTTTAGATTTGAAACCATGACACGCCACAATTTTTCCTATTCAGAAACAAATATTAGGTTATTCATGAAATAAAATGTATTAATTGTCGAATGAATGAACATGCATTTATTCAGTCCGTACTTAACATTTACTTCCGTTTTAAATTCGCGGCAGAAATCAAAAACTGAAAATATGACAAGTAAGGTTAGAACATATATACCTTTTATACCTCAAAACAGGCTAGAAATAGGGGACACACTTTTTTAAAAAAATTGCGTCCTTGGGACTCACAAATTTTCTAACTTAATGCAAGCGCTGTAACTCTGTTTAAAGAATTACAAGTTGAATAACTGACATTTTGCTTGTCAAAATACCCTAAATTCATAGATAAATTATTCAAATCTGGATTTTTAGATAAACGAATTTGAAGACAACAATCCCCTTCAAAGTACAGCACCTAATTCTGTAGAAAACTGGAATATGTTCTGTTGTCTCATAAAATCACATGGTGCTGTGAAAAAAAAAAAATTGAATTTACCCCATTTACTTAAAACGCTATTTCAGATAAGACGGCCTCCAGAGATAAAGATGACATTAGTGCCACAACAGAGTATGCATGGTGAAGCTGAGGTGTATGCTCAAATAGATCTCATCATTAAATGTCCAGCTAGATATCCAAATGAGTAAGACATTTTGTTTGTGTAAAGTATGTTTATCTGAGGACTTGTTGACTCATCTGACAGATCAGTCATTTTTGACACCAGTGGCAGTGTAATTGTTAGTCCCTATGGCATGATACATGTATGCTTGTTTATGTTATAATATTATTAAGAGGAATTGATATGATTGAATAATGTTACATCCAAAGTTCTGATTCATTCATTTCTGTATTGCTGTCCTGTATTACCACATATTGCTGTCCTGTATTACCACATATTGCTGTCCTGTATTACCACATCTTTTGATGCTTCTCAGATATTTGTTCTCAGTGTGCACAAACCAGATGATGATACTTTCTGATTTTACACATGCAATTTGATTCTACATTTATAGAGTTCCAAGTATTACTCTAGAAAATCAGAAGGGTCTATCTTCCCAACTTGTTCAAGAATTGCAGGACACTTTGACTAAGAAAGCAGAAGAACTGAAAGGTAGAATCATTTTTCATTTTACAGTTTATTAGTATTCATTGTTGCTATATCTGTCGATGTATGTGAGCTTGGGCAGGGAAGTCTGCAGATTTAGGAATTCAGCGTATAAATAGAATAGCACCATTGTAATTGGTTGACATGGGAAGTTACATTGAATATATAAATTGACTATTGTCAACAGTGAAATTTCCAAAATGGCAACCAGTATTACACAATAAGAAATTCATTTTTTATATTCATGTTAATGTTAAGTGCACATACCACTAGTTTACTTCTCTTTTAAATAATTTCACATGGAAAACCTTGAGGTTATAGCTTTGGGCCAAAGAAGTTTTAAGTTTAACTGCAATGGGTTTACTTATCAAGTACCTTTCCTTAAAATGGTTTCTCTTCCAGGTGAAGTGATGATCTTAGAGCTTGCTAATGAGGTTCAGCAGTTCCTACACACATACAACAAGCCCCCAGCCGCCTCCTTCTATGAACAGATGCTGCACAACCAAAGACTTAAAGAACAACAGGCAGCTGTAGAGCAGCAGCGTCAACAAGATCTACTGAATAAGAAGGAACAGAGGGAGGTTAGAAGATTAAATTATAGAAGCAGTCCATTTGAAACATTTCCTGACTATGTAATATATGGTCAATACCATTTGTTTCATATTTTCATACACGTTACATAATTATAATGTCATTTGCCATTTACACTCTTTTGCCCTTGACCTCATTTTATATTGTCTTTTTAGATCTTTATATATTTTCTACTTTGCTTCATTTTTTCATGACTTCATTTACACTATGTGTTTTTGATTATTTCTACAGAGAAAACACCTGGAAGAGGAGATCGAGAGACACCAGAAGGCTCTGAGAGAGGAGACCAGGAGACAGCGTGAGGAGGCTAAACATGACAACATTGAGACTCAAGATGATCAAATACAGAAAGTCAAGGATGCTGAGGCCAGATCAAGTTTGTCTCCTATTATGAAGAGGAATAGGACTCGTAGTGAAACAAATAGCAACCAAAGGTAATCAAATGTCTGTAGAAGATTTAATAGTTTTTTCTCGGTCAACCGGAAATGTCTTCATTAAAACTAACATTTTATATAATTAGAGGCATAGCAGTTACAAAATTTTATAATATACTGTACCTATAGCTGGTATTTATTTCATATTCAAACACCTAAGAAAGGCCATAGTGGCTTCTTGTATTAGCATCAAAACATTGGATTTGTTTGTCCTAATGTTAACAGTACTTATGATGTCCTTGCCTATCATTTTTGTATGTTGATTTCGCTTCAAGTACTTGAGATGTTAATTTGTACATGTATGTTGTTTTAGATATAATAGTTCAAGTAGGACTCGTGGTGACTCTAATGGGTCTGATGGTATGGACAGTGACCCACACCTTGGTACTGCAGTACTGGCATTCAACACTAACAAAAAAGAGAGAACCATCCACAGAGGAAGATGTTTAGGTAAATAACAGCTCGATGTTTGATCATGTATAAATTTATCCCTCGCTAGTTTAATAAATATTTATGAACAAAATCCCACATGATGTCTTCTAAGAATAAAACTTTTAGTCTTTGTTGAATCTAAATATTTGGTTCATGAAGGATACATGGATTATTTACTGGGTTATATTTTTGGATATATGGTTTATCCTTATATTATTTGTTGCATTATAATTGTAGGGCAGAGTAGACGTGGCAGTTGTGTGTATGCAGGTATGGATACACAAACAGGGGATTTAGTGGCCATTGCTGAGTGGGTGTTCCGGTGGAGGAGAACAGGAAAGAAATTAACATCAGAACAGAAGGAAGATCTTGAGTCTGAGGCAGCAAAATATTTGAAACAGGTCTTTTGAAATATTATTTTTCGATATTTAAGAATTTCAGCTGTTATTGACAAAAACATTTTATTACAAAAGTGAAATACTGAGCAAAGAAACATGTGTTTTTTTAACCTTAATTGATCCTGGATAAACACATATTTTTATAACCATATGATATATAATTTCTCATACATTAACGAATAAATAGTATCCTTGATTACCAGGTGCGTGGCATAGAAGCAGAACTGATGACATTGTCTAAACTAGAGCATCGTCATATAGTCCACTACGCAGGCCTGAAGTACGAACACCAGGGAGGAAGGATTGTCGTGAACATTCTCATGGACTATGTTGGTGGAGGTAGCTTAGAGACTCACCTACAACACAACATGCCACTTTCTGTTGACCTGCTGAGGCATTACACCATTGAAATCCTAGATGCACTGGTCTTCCTCCATGATAAGGCTGTGGTTCATAAAGACCTTAGGGTAAGGTCACATTTGTAACTTTTACAAGGAAGCACATCATTTTGATGTCAAGATCTGGTGATCAATGATAAATTAATAAAACCAAAGTGAGTAGGGACAGTTTTAGTTTTTTATGTATCAAAAAAGCTCAAAAGTAAACATTTAGGAATATTGGATCTAATCATCTTATCAACATGATTATTTAGAAAAAATTTATTTAAAATAAAAGTTTACATTTGGAAATATCATCCTCCTTATGGCCTAGTCACATAGCCCGGCCGATGAGGTTCCGATGAGCCAGCGATGCAATTTTCACCGAACTCGGCCGAACACCGGCCGGACACCGGCCGGACATCCGTGGCGTTTGTTGCTTAAAACCGCATCGGTGGCAGCTCGGTGAAATTTTAACTTCGGAGTTAAATTTCACCGGGCTCTCACCGAGCTCCCTCATCGCAGCCCCATCGTAACCACATCAGAACACACGTCGGCCGGTGCACGGCCGAGTATCGGTCGGTGTCCCGTGCATCTGAGACAACCAGAGGACGAGGTTTTTTTAACGGACACCGGCCGAGCTCCGACCGAGCTCCGGCCGATGTGGGACAGAGCCTTGGAAAGTATAGTACCTGAAGATGTCCGGACGGAGTCCGTTCACGTCACCGAGCTCTGCTTCCGATGAGGAGAGCTCGGTGGCACCAAAAAAATCCACCGAGCTCTACCGATGCCGGACATCGGCCGGGCTATGTGACTAGGCCATTAGCAGGCTTCCAGAATCGTAGAAAGGAAGACTAGATTCTGGCTTTTGAAACCCTGCGTACGGAGGATTGAAAATATTGAAAAATACAATTTAATCATTAGTTATAAATACTTAACTTATCATGGGTGATTATTTAGAAATTGTTTTAAAATCTCCAACTCTGCTTTTATAGGCTTCCAGCATTCTTCTTGACAATAAAAGCCGTGTAAGACTTACTGACTTCAGCATTGATAAAAGGTAGGTTTTGAAGGAGATTTTGAAACATTTTGATTCATCAAATTGAGTTATTAGCGAGATTTCCCTCAAAGTGAAAGTATAACTTATGTTTATGGATATTGTTATACATAATAAGCATAAGTGAATTGAAATTTTGCATTTCTCAAAAATCATACCTATATGTATAGAAATGACATATTTTATGATGTGATAGAAAATACATGATGATGATAGATGCATCTAGGGTTGCACAATGTATGACAAAAGTACTAGCATAAAGAGTCAGGGCCATTTAGTTTCAAATTCTATAGGAAAATCACATGGGGATTTGGATTGCTTTGTAATTTCTTTTGACAAAGATCTGAAGTGTAAACAAACTGTGGTGTTTGCAATGTTCAGGTTGTATGAACTTTGCCAGTCAGTTGAAAGTGAGCGACCGGGTGTCAAGTTCCAAGAGCTCCGACCACACATCAGCGGGAGAGGTGGCAAGAAAAGTGACATTTACAAACTGGTACTTATTGATTTAATATCCTTAGAGCCGCAGACAGTGGTTTATGGTGTCTTTATCATCCAATTAAAAGCAGCTGTTATTATGTCACTACCAAAAAGTGACATATTGTTATGCTCTCTTTTTTTTCGACAGCGGTTGTCGGTTGGTGGTTGGTGGTTTTTTCAAAATCATCTAGAAGTTCTCAGAAGTTCACATCTGGCTATAAATTTGACATTCAGTGACATTCTCAAGGTCAAAAAAGATGTGACCTCCAATGACCTTCTCAAGGTCAAAAAGGTATTTTCATTTTGCTTCAAATTGACCAATTTTTTTTCAAAATCATCTTCAAGTTCTCAGAAGTTCACATCTGACTTGAGATTTCACCTTCAATGACTTTCTCAGGGTAAAAAAGGTATTTTTTCAACTTGCTTCAAATTGACTAATTTCTTTTTTAAAAATCATCTACAAGTTCTCAGAAATTCAAACCTGACTTCAAGCAACTAGGCGGGGACATCTTGTCATGCCAATGCCTTGATATCTTAGAGATCAGCTGTGTAGTGTGAACATTTGGAAAATTAAAAAAAAATCAGATAGAAATTTTGAAAAATGTAAAAAAAATTGACAAATGGTCAAATGAAAATTTAGGGAGAATTAGAAATGAAGTTTGAAAAATGTATTATATCATAGGCCTTATGGTCAAATATTGGTAATATTAAGATCTTAAAAATTGCTTAAAACTGTCATCATATGAAGCTACCTCAGTATTTGATTTATTCCAAGGGAATTAAATTTTATGAACTAAAATAATGACTATGGTTTCAGGGCATTGTGTTGCTGTCTCTTGTAGAAGGTAGACACGTCTTAGAACAGTTGCCTGAGGTTCCCACACACCTTCCTATAGAACTACAGGATTTCCTTACCAAGTGAGTCAACACTCCATTTATTGCATCTGTACATCTGTACATTTGTACATCTGTACATATTTTCACTTATGGTACTTGACTACAAAATAGCCATTCGGGAATACCTATTTTTTTTTGACATAAATTGACTCATTGACTCATTCTCATTTCACTAAAACATGATAAATGGTTTAATTCTTTAAACCTAGAACTTTTCTTCAAGTGAGAACATCAATGGCCTTGCTAAACATGCCCTTCAGACTTTTTAGCCTTTTTTGTTGAATCCTTGAAATGAGCATCTACTAACAGGAAAACCATAGGGCCTATTTTTTTTCTATTTCATTTGTCATATTTTTCTATTTCTATTCCATATTGATATTAATAGAGTATACTTGTTTTGCAACAATATATATGTAAGTAGAACAACTATATTATCAAGCCAGATTGACTAAATATTATTTCTCTTACACTCTAGGTGTCTTATAAATGATGAGAAGCACAGGTCTTCTGCCCATGACCTCCAAGAACATGTGTTTGTCAAGTCCCCTCTCCCCCTCAATCTGCAATCACATGGCACTCGGCAGTCACCTGAGAGAGACGATGCGAAAGGTACAATAATATATCAGAAACTGATAGTGTGTCATCAGGATTTAGATATTTGAATTTTTGGATCATCGATTTTAATATGAATACATTTAGATCATTAAACTAAGGAATCTTGTTGACATGGGGATTGTGATATGATCAAAAGATAATGAAATCCTTACTATATTGTGAATTAAACCACATCTCCATTTTGATGCATTCATCTCTAGGTAAATTGATTTCAAAGGTGATTTTCATTTTGGTAATGTTTTAAATGAGTTTATTTCTTGCACCTAGCTTGTCATGAGGATGAGGAGGAAGAGATGCCAATCATATTACATCATCAACTGACTGGACACTCCAGATTGGAGAGCGAGTTCACTGTGCTTAAGTTCCTTGGGAAAGGTGGCTTTGGAGATGTCATCAAGGTAATCATTTTGGATAGGGCAAATACAAATATGGATGGACAAGTGCCAAAGGGAAATACCTGAAAGTATTTCAAAATATGATACATTCAGCACTTATTTTCTATTTCCATGTCAAAAAGTATACATTATAAACTTTAAGCCATGACTGTTGTAGATTGAAGTTGGGGAATTCAAGGTGTATAAATTGTAGTCTGTCTGTTTCGCAAATTTGCCTGCTCCTTTACAGGAATGTGGAAAGCTAAATCGTTACAATAGCTGCTTCGTTGCCAACCATCTTTCAACATAGCTCTCATATTGTAGAGATGATTCACTCTGTTTGTTCAAAATGTTATTAATCATTCAATAATTGTATCTTTCCTCTAGGTAAAGAACAAACTAGATGATAGATCCTATGCCATCAAGAGGATTCCACTTAACCCAAAGAGTAAGATATTCACACGCAAGATCACACGAGAAGTGAAACTTCTGTCTAGACTCAACCATGAGAATGTTGTCAGGTTAGCACTCTTATCGGTCAATTTAAAACATTCCTTTCTCCATTCCTTAGTGAAGTGAATGTGAATTTATCATGAACATTTAAGAAAAAATCATGGAAATTATTGATAGAGAAAAGACATGCATGAACTATTCATGGATATGACTGAATTACAAATTGGACCAGGAACGGAATCATCACTATTAATACTACAATCATGTCTACATTTAACCAATGAGTCAAGAACTGTATGAGGACTTCTACAGGGTGGTCCAAAAAAAATTGGAACATTTGTTAATTGAATGCAAAATCTTTATTTTTCCTCTAAAATGCACCAAAGCTTCACTGAGTATAGTTCAGTCACTTATTTATCTGATGTAAAGTTTATAGGTGCAAACAACAAAATTAATGCATTAAACTAGACAATGGTTGATATGACCCCTCTAATCCTGAATTACAAGTTCAAGCCAAGGACTCAGTTTTGAAATTATTCATTCAGTTTGCTGTTTGTTTGTTTTTGTCAAAGCCATCTTGATAAAAAATTTCAGCTTGACCAAACTCCCTATATATTTGCTTTGGAAGATCACATCTGGTAACATATTCAACATTTTTAATCCAAATTGATGGGTATCAAGCATATTTTGATGGCTATTGTTGGGTGTATCCGTGTATTACTGATGGAATATTCTTCTCCAGAAAGGGACCGGGGTAGTCTGTTTTGTCTGGTGAATGAAGCCTCCTCCCCTTTATTGTTTTAATTTGAATAATATTCATCAAATATATCAATATATATGAATATCAATATCATAAAGGAGTCTCCCAGAACACAAATGATATATTATATGTGCTTAGAGTTGGTCTTTAATAAAGCCTTGTAAATAACTGGTCAGTTTTGCCTTAACTGAAAAGTGGAAACAATGATTTTGTCACTTTAGCAGCTGTGTGGGTTATGCAATCGCTCACCTCTGTTCCCTTTTCCCTCTTAAATAAAAATAATTAGTTTTTATGGGTATTCTTTAAGTTGGCATTAACACAATAGTTTTCTAGTAAACCATAGATGTAAATAACTCTTGTCAACTGAATATGATTTTATGAAACGATTATAGCAATCATCATGTTCATTAAAGCTTTGAAATAAAGATTACTTGAAAAAGTAGCAGCAAAATTGACAAGTGTATATTTGAGAAAAGGGGGTCCTTTGAAACATTGACTAGTTTAAGGTGTTACCTTTGTGGTTTTCACCTATTAACTTTACATCAGATAAATAAGTGACTAAACTATGCTTGGTAAAATTTTGGTGCATTTTAGAGGGGAACTAAAGGTTTTACGTTCAATTAACAAATGTTCCAATTTTTTTTGTAGTATGGATAATGTTTTTTTGTGGACATGGTGTTCTGTGATTAGTGTTTGGCATTCAGTAGTTGTTGTTTACCAGTTGGTGTTTTGTGATCGGCATCTGAACCAAATGGCAGGCATGTTATTGCCTTGTTTAGACTAGCTGCAGTATTCTGGCATTAGTATTTACTTAATCCAGTAATATACTGTGCAATATATACTACATCACGGTAGCTTAGCTATTGTCATTTCAGGTATTACAACTCTTGGATTGAGACTTCAGATGAGCCTGCCTTCAGTGAGAGTTCATCCTCTGGTAGTTCACCAACTAAGACTCCTACAGATAGCAGTAAACATGAGGCCATTAGTAATAAGGTGTGTCTTGCTTACCATCCAAATTATATATGCTTTCATATTTCAAGCATCAGTCATAGCCACAGAAGAACTATTTAATAGGGATAAATATAAACAAATATAGAATAAATTCCAGAGAATAAATCAGAAGAAAATCTACATAGAAATGGCAGAGGATTTATTTAATGGAGGGCTATATATTTCTTTCCAATGTACATGATGTATTCAATCTTGTCAGTTGCCACACTATATGTATAATAAAATGCCAGGAAAATGCTAGCATTGTTTGATTGTGTTATGATTAAACTATTGCATTATGTTTTTAGATGTCATCTGTAAGAAACAGTCTAGGACTGAAGGATGACTTTGCCAACCTCCCTCCAGCAGCTGAGTCTGTAGATTGGAGTACCTCTGACATAGGGAATGTTCCAGATGATGAGAGCTCTTCAAGTGAGGAGGAAGACATAGCAGATGTATTTGGTCACTCCTCATTGTTCCATGATGAGGACTCAGATTCTGATGGAGGAATTGTATTTGAACATAACTCAGCATGGAATATTGACACTGAGGTGGGTTCCTGTGCAATAAAATGATTTGTATTTATTTAAAAGAGCCGTTACTTGAAACACAATTAATAAACATAAGATATGCTATAAATCATCTTTTTGTGAATTGCAAACAATCAAGTAGGCACCAATACACACTTTTTAAATGAGTTTATATGAAATATTAAGCCTCTCTAGACAATATCATATGATTGAATTTCTAAGGAAGCTTCACATTAAGTGAAATTATGTCATGATATCACAGATAGGCCTATATAAATGCTTTTTATCTGTGCATCATCTCTCTAGAGTTTAAATTACTTTTATTCTACTTAATTTGACACGCTATTTAATTTGGGGAATTTGTCAAAATCGGGAAATTGGCGTAGATTTAATTTGATGAATTTAGCAGGTCTAAATACCTGTGAAATTGAATGAGCTCTACTAACCAACTGTATGCTATCTTATTGCGACTTTCTAACATTAAAATGGTCCAATTTATTGGGTAAATCAGATCTTGAACCGCGATACACCATTCCTGGGAATTTCTGAAAAATTGACGAAGACATGAATTGGCATTTTTTGCAATTCGCCAAATTAAAACGGTCGCCAAATTAAGTAGAATAACAGTAACTGATATGTTGTGGCTTACAGTTCATATTCATCTCTTCATGATGATCTCATATTTTATTGGCATTACAGTATCAATGTGTTTAAATTATAAAATTAATCTGACTTCAAGATTGAATGAATGTACATGTAAATGCCTATATTAGTGCTCTATACTGGTTTTAGGAGTCTAAAGATGCCAAACTAACTGAAGAAAGTAGTACAGATACATCCGAGACAGTACCTAAGCTACAATACTTGTACATACAGGTGAGTGACATTGAGGCACATTCAAATTGTTCACAAAAATAAAATCATAAACAATTAATACATGTCATATAAACAGAATTGTTTCTTCAATAAGATTACTATTTGTGGACTGCTTCCAGCTTTTACGAAAAACCTGACGCAAATATGTCTAGATATTATTTGTTAGAAACAACACAATTAGTTCTTTTAGTTTCATGCCATGGGCAGGTCTCAAGTAAGAGAATTTCTGGTATAAGCAATGCAAAATTCACTATATAAACAGGAATAATGAAATGGAATTGAATGCCCTGTTGTGAATCTTCCAGATGGAATACTGTGAGAAGAGTACCCTGAGAAACTGTATAGATGCAGGCCTATACGAGGACATGAATCGGGTATGGAGGCTCTTCAGAGAGATCATAGAGGGACTTGTACATATACACCAACAGGGCATGATACATAGAGACCTGAAACCTGTCAATATATTCTTGGATAGCAATGATCAGGTGAGCCATTGTTTTAAGATACAAAAAAGTAAATATCTGTATAAAATGATTGAAACTTGGAGGTACAGGAACGATGTAGAGATTATTGTCTATTCTCTACTTACCACAGGTGCCATGTATAGGGATATGGTAGTTTAGGGTTCATATGGAAATTAATACTGTTTCATGCATTAGGAAATCCAAAATGGCAGCCAAAATGTGTGAGTTTTACTTTAATTTTGAGATCTCTCCTATCCAAAGTGTCTTCCCAAATGTTAGTAATATGGATTACTTCAGAGTTCTCTCCAAAATATGAATTAACTTTCAATGAGTATCATGTTCTGTTTTACAATTCTATGTGAATCTGATTTCAGGTGAAAATAGGAGACTTTGGGCTGGCCACCACTGATATTATCTCCAAGGTTAGTTATCTCACTTATTCATATTCATGTTGAATTTATTATTGAAGTGATTTAATTCCCCTATTTTAGATCACTGTTTCCAAGTTCCTTGTATGGACATAATTCAAAAACATTATTTTGCAATCAAATAGGCCTAGCCCCATTTTATAATCTTTAGTTTACAGTACACCTGTAGTACGAAATCTTTAGGCACAATAATATTTAATGACATGTTAAAACTGTGACCTTCACAAAAAATGAAAATGTTGTAAATTTTTTTCTTTATTCCTATTAAATACATTCAGATATACAACACATAGACTGCCAAAGTAAAAAACATTGGTGGCAGTTTAAAATGTTGTAAATCATGTGATGAATATTGCTTATATACATGTTACTCCAGCAACAAGGCAGTATAATGGAAACTAACATGCAAAACATTACTGGAGACAGCCAGGGCAGTGCATCAGGATCCTTAGGACAAGGTAAGCTCAAATAGCGAAATACATGTGTGTTGTGTGTTCAAATTCATTTTGAGGAATTTTGTTTCCATGTTGAAATAATGATTCTTTTAATTTTGCCCATTAATGAAGATTTACATCTTAATGTATTTTAGGCAGTTTATTGGGAGAAGGCAGTCTGACAGGCAAAGTTGGAACAGCCCTGTATGTCAGTCCAGAGATGATGCTAGCCAAGGCGCAGTACAGTCAAAAGGTGAATCTAGTATTTAATCTAGATTTTCAGTATTATTCATTAATTTGAATTGGCACTACTTTTTCACATACAATGGCGTCTATCCAATTTGACATGTTTTGCATGTCTGAAATGAACCCATTCTTAGTATTTAAGGCTATTCAAAACTTATACTTATATCCTGTACATTAAACGGTCAAAACAAAGACAGCTGACAGTTTCTTACAGTTGTAACATTGTGGCTATATAGTTTTGCTATTTTTTTAAATAGCAAAATTAAACATATTAAAGCATTCACCAAATTAAGCTTAAATGTTATTGGAAATACTCTAAATTGAGTTACAGTAAAGTTGCTTAAAATATTGATCAAAAATTCAAAATTAAAAAGAAACATTTGACTTTTTCCAATTAATATAGTACCCCACACAAGTATTTGATAATAACTTTGACCCGTGATTTGAACACCCTATCCTTAACTATTTGTTATTAAATTTACCACACATAAACTAGAGAAGATTTCCAACATTGGGAATTTTTTATTAAGCCATTTGATTAATAATGGTTAAATGGCAGTAAGTTCAAAATGCTACACAGTTTACTAGTGTTTTACCAAATTGCTACATTGTTTGAATGACTATGACGTTACAGCTGTACAGTACATTTACTTTTATAGAGTTAAGTTTATTAGAGTCTTCTGAGTTCAGAAATGAAATGATTTGCAAGTGGTGAGGGTAACCCAAGTAAAAAATAAGATGAATATTGAAAAGATAACGAGATAAAAGTCAATAAAATTGTTAAAATGAACAATTCATTCTATAGAATATTTTATGAACTCAATTCGGTGAAAACCCATTAATGACACCCTTGATTTGATTACTTATAATTTTATTGTTATTGAAGTAAAATAAAAACAAAAAAAATTCCAATGTTGGAAATTTCCTCTAGTTTATGTGTGCCAAATTTAATAACAAATAGTCAAGGATAGAGTGTTCAAATCACGGGTCAAAGTTATTATCAAAAACTTGTGTGGGGTACTAATGATTGCCCCTGTACTTCTTATAACATAACAGCATTGTATTTCTTAACATTTTGAGGGACCCTTATTCTATTTATGAATACATTTGTACATTCAGGTTGATATCTATAGCCTGGGGGTGATGTTCTTTGAAATGTGCTACCATCCCCTACCCACAGGCATGGAGAGAATACAGGTACTGACCAACATTCGAAGGAAAACCATAGACTTTCCTGATGACTTTGATGAGTTCAAGCTATCCAATCAGGTACCATTTATTTACTTTAAAAACTTAATTTCTAGGTGAGGTAGAATCCAGATACAGTCAGTTTCGTAGTTTAGTCATTTACATGTAATTATAATGTTATGTAGCTTTATAATTAAATATCTCCATTAATAAGAGGTAAATAAATATATGATATATGTTATAATTGCTTTCCAGGCCAAGATTATCAAAACTCTACTTAACCATGACCATATGCTTCGTCCAAGTGCCCAAGATCTCCTACAGAGTGAATACCTCCCTCCTCCGCAACGAGAAGAAGCAGAGCTTAACGAAGTTCTCCGATCGACAATCTCAAACCCTCAAAGTAGAATCTATAAACACATGCTCACTGCCTTATTTGATCAGCCAGTCAGTGCTGCCGTGGACTTCACTTATGATAATGATATACATAAAGGCCATTTCTCCACTTGGAGTGCATTGTTGTATAGCCACGTGCAGGGAATGCTAGAGAGGGTGTTCCAAAAACATGGTGCTGTGCAGGTTGTTACACCACTATTGATGCCTAAGTGTGATGTATATAAGCATATTGAGCAATATGTGTGTTTAATGGACCGTAGTGGCGGAATGGTAGGCTTGCCATTTGATCTCAGAGTAAGCTATGACATATACTATATATCAGAATTATATAAATATACAATCAAGAAGTTATCTGTATAAAGTATTTGCCTCAATATTAAAATACAGAGGGATGTGATAAAAAAGTACAGTTAAACCTGTGTTTAGTGGAACTCCTTTTATTTGGTACCTCTAAAAAGTATTGCACTTGTGAAGAGTATAGAGGTTCATTTATTAACATTAAGTCATTTTGTATTAGATTCGAACTGTGAAAAGTTTTCCATTAACAGAGATGTTCCACTTTTAGAGGTGTTCCACTCTACAGGTTTCACTGTACATATATTTCTGAATCAATATTGTAAAAGTAAAATAAATCTCTGTAAGTAAAGATATCTAGTGTTATTCTGGATTATTGCCCAGCTATGATAATTAGTATAATTACTATTAATAGTCTACAAACAAATTGATTTGTTCATTTGAACACTTGCAGGTATCGTTTGCCCGTTATGTTGCCAGAAACAACATAACAAATCTCAAGCGGTATCATATAGGAAGAGTATTTCGTGAGAAGAAGCTGTTTGGTCTACACCCCAAGGAACTAATAGAGTGTACTTATGATATTGTATCTCCTAATAATGCCAGGTAAGCAATGCCTTTTCTGGACACAGAGTCACAAGTTGACAAGACAAAAACCAAGAAACAGCAGTACACGAACTGTTGTATTCTGAATCAAAATTAAAATTTTTTTTGGCTCTGCAAATTAAAAGTTAGAAGATTGATCACTTCAGTCCATTGTGTGATATAACATAAAACCTCCCTCAAGATTTCTGTATTTGTTTTGTTATGTTCAACTTCTACATATATAACCAGTGATCTTCCCAGCATTAAAACAAGTGGGCGCAGCACCCATTTGAGATTTTGAAAACAGGCTTGCACCCACCTAAAATCCATTTGCACCCACTTGAAAATGAGAAAAACCATCAAAAATTTTGACCAATTTTGGCCTGAATTGTAAAAATGAGAATTTGGTACCCACTTGAGAAAAAATTCTGTGGAGAACACTGATAACATTTAACTTTTGTAATTATTTGCAAGTGGTGATATTTTGTCATATTTATGCCTTGTTAATCCATATGTCGTCCTTGTTTCTTTGTTACAACTCTCGAGGGGTATGTTTGTATTGTAACTATTGTTGGACCATTCATTTGTCTGTCTCTCCAGCTGAACACACTAAAATTATTCAAAAATTTTATTTTCAGTCTGTTACCAGATTCAGAGATTCTCCATGTAGTTAGTGAAATAATAGCTGAGGTACCAAGTCTAAGCCAACGTAATTTTACCCTCAGGTTGAACCATATATCTCTCCTGAGGGGGGTGCTACTACACTGTGGGGTGGGGGAGACCCTACACAAGGACGTCAAAATAATACTCAACTCATCTAAAGCTGACAAACAAAAGAAACAACAAATCCAAAATCGTCTCCAGAGTCTCGGCCTCACTGAACAAACAATCACCCAGTTATACCACTTTATAGAAATGGAAGGCACTTTCTCCAAAATTTCTAGTATTTTACGCTGTATTACAAAAACTAAAGGTTTAGCTGGGTCATATGCTAAGAAGGGTCTACATGAGCTGGAGGCAATCTTATCACATGTAGAGACGTTAGGTGTAAAGCTGCCAGTAGTACTGAGCTTAGGGTTGGTGTATAACGTGCATTATTACTCAGGGCTTGTGTTTGAGGTGTCAGCACAGGTCGTCAGGAAGAAGAGACACGTGGTTCTAGATGTTTTGGCAGCTGGGGGTAGATATGATGATCTTGTAAGTTGGCCCATTCCTTGGGGTCACAAATTTAGATACATTGTCGGAAATATGACATCATAGTAAGGGAACAAGACAATTTAGGAATTCCTGACATTATTAAGTTTTTCTTCCAGCACAGGTAAAGGAATCGAAAATAGTAGTGAGGAAAAGAAATTAGTTCCCAACTCTGCCACAACAAAAAAGTTGATAAACAGAAAGTGGGGATGGTGAGGGGGGGGTTTCTTTGCTATTTATCAGATTCTTCGTCTGTGTCTCCTCAGTATCTGGTTCTGTAAAATGTCCCTCAATCCCCTTTTAAGCTGAATGTTACTCTTGATAATTCTAAAGGTCTCTTATCATGCCAAATGTTTATAGTTTTTATTCAATATCTCTAATGTTTTGCTTAATGTACTGTATTTGACCTTTCAAATTCAAAGCCTGCTCTTAAAGACCACTAATCAAACTTTATTGAATATTTTTTCAGATAAAAAATTGTGGCATAGGTACAAGTGACACTCACCAGGGGGCAGTAGGAGTCAGTCTTGGGATGGAAAAAATTGTGGCAGCTGTGGGCGAACAGGATGAAAGCAAGGCACTGGGGGCGTATGATATCTTAGTGTGCACGCTAGGACACAAATCTATGATCAAGGAAAAGTTGTCTGTAGTGCGTGACCTCTGGGCTGCTGGCCTGAAAGCAAACATTCTCTTGGATACTTCTTTAGTGAGTTTACATTTATTTTTGCTGAAAAAAATTATAGTGGTAGGAGAAAAATAGCACGACTGAGTAATGAAATGTATACAGGACAACATTTGACACAGATACTAATTTTCTGCATGAAAAAAATAAAAATTCTGCAAAAAAATCTGCAAGAAAAAAAGCAAATTCTGCAAGGAGAAAATCGAAATTCTGCACAAATTTTCAAAAAAAGTCCAAATTCTGCAATCTTTTAAAACGATGAAAAAATTGTTCTCAATAATGATTGATTGTTGGACATAAACAGACACTCTTCAAATACCCCGCAAAGGTAGGAGATCGTAAATTCTGGAAATTCTGGTAATTCCGCGGGATTTTCATGAAAATCAGGGATTCTGCAAAAAATTGAAGTTTTGTCAAATTCCGTCCACGCTGCGGAATTACGGAATACTAGTATCTATGAAAATTTGAATACTACTCTAAAAATACTCATCATACACTTATATATACAGTGTGTATACTGAATTATTTTTTGAAAAGCAATGCATGGGTTGCTTATCTAGAATATCGAAAATGTTTGGGAGTACGATATTTTCTTGAATTCACATTGTCAATAACAGCTTCACTTCTACAGTCAGAATTTAATATGTGGTTTAAATATGTTTTAGAGTCTTGAAGAGATCCTGGAGAATTGTCGTCAAAGTCATGTGTCACATATTGTCATCATGAAAGATACAGCAGAGGGCAGCACTATTAAGGTAAGTAGCAAGAAACATTTGATTGTTGAATATTTAAATCCCTTATGAAAGTCTTACTTAAAGGCAGAATTAGATCTATAGGGGGTGACAAAATTACAAGCAACATGCATAATTGACCTAGCAATCTATTCCTTACAATATCAAATACAATATCTCCCAAAAGATTCACAATATGTTATAAATTGGTGAAGTTATTTATGATTCAAAGTGCAAAAATGGATGAAACATGTTTAAATTCTCCCAAATAATAAGAATGGTACCATTCTTATAGAAAAATACTACATTATTGTAAAAATCTTTCGTTTTCCTTGAATAAAGTGTGCACTTTTGTGATTTTTAGAAAATAGACATGACAAGGAATGACCTGAGCCAAAAATATTCTAAAATTGAAACAATTTTTCATTTAGCCTGCTCGCTATCTCTGATTCTCTCTTTAATGTTATCAAGATTTGATTATATATTAAATGATTCCATAACATCACTGCTTTTTGAAAAAACAGGTACAGAATAGTATTTGACCAATAAAATAATTCAAACTTTCAAAATTGAATTTTTTAATAAGATTGATTTAACGTTTAAAAACAAGTAATTATATAGCCTTTGGTGAAGAATCTTGTGTCAGCCAATTATTCCCTTGAAAACTTAAAGAAAACCTACCTATTCCCTAGAAAACTTAAAATATAATATGTATGTATGTATATTTATTTATTAAGTGCCTCGTATAGTATACCCATCCTATTTTAGGCTGATGGGGCACATTGTACAATATATTCAAAAACAATATTATAATAAGATTATTAAACGAAGCTTGCTCTTTTGATAAGAGCAGCATTCAGGAATTTTCCAGTTTGGCGCACTAATCTAAAATCATGTAATAAAAGTTTCAAAAGTTCATCATCAATAATAAGTTAATAATATATTATCATTAATAATATTTATGAAAATAGAAAATCCTTACTTTTCTTGCCTCTACATTTAGGTTAAATCCCTTTACATTTAGGTCAAATCCCTTTACATTTAGGTTAAATCCCTTTACATTTAGGTTAAATCTCTTGAGAAAGATCGGGTCACAGAGAAGAAGATGGCAATAAATGAACTCACTGAATACCTTCAGCAGAAGATTCAACAAAGGTAGAGAAATCTCATTCACTTCTTAAAGACCCATGGTTTAGACCATATTCATTCGTTCTTTCTGAAAACAACATTTTTTTCGGGGGGATAATTCAACTTGTTCATTTCAACTATTACAAACAATGAGTGGGAATTAACACATATTTGTCTTTATTTCCAAAAAACAGAGAATGCAGACAATATAATTATAAGACTTGATCTAATTTGTTCATCCATTTTAGTGACCAAAGAGTTACTAGTGAGAAGCAGGAGTCCAGTAAGCCAGTGAGTCAACCTAGTCAGGTGTTAACAGATACACTCAGTGGCGGTAGCAGTAACACTCACAATCAGTCCATATACAATATTACATTCATCACGTTGGAAAATATGAAACTAGCTGGCAATGCAAAAAGAAAGTATGAGTCCCAGGTACGTGATTTTGACAAGTATGGTCGGAGCTCGATGTAAGATTCTGTGACTTTTCCCTAATTAGATAAAGGCGCAATGGTGCTCTCAGCCTAGGCTATCCACAATGTGTATTGTGTACTAGTATACATGAATTCAATATGCAAATCTATTTTTTTATAATAAATTATCGCTTGGAAAAAATGTGTTTGTCATTTGAAACCTAAAGTTTGTGAGGAATGAAGTAAAGAATTTGTATAGTTATATGCATTATAGTTTCTCTCGGATTTTCTCCTTGATAGATAGCTAGCTTTTCATTTTGAATATTTCTTTGGCTTAAATGGATTTTCAACTGGGTGCTAGATAATTCACAACATTGTGCCTTGCAATGTTGTTTCTCTGATGGGGAGACCACTGCACTGTACAAAATGGCTGCTATTCTATCCTGGTTCAGTTGGGAAAATCAATTATAATTTTTAAATACACTGCCTTCACTTTAATATTTCAGATGTATGCCAAGCTGCTGCCCTTCATGCAGAACCTCACTAGCAAGTGTCGCATAGAAATCGTCATGGTTGACCTGCCCTTTGGTGTACTTAAAACTATTGCAGGCAATTTAGAAGTAAGCATTTTAATTATCTGTTATTCATTATTCACAAGCAATGACATATTGTTATAATCTCCAACTTTTTTGCGGATGGTGCTTGGCATTTGGTATTCACCATCAGTATCAAATGGCAGTTAGTGACATTTTGGATGTTAGTGCCTTGTATTCATTTGAAACCATATTGGCTTATTTAAACAGGGGTATATACTCAAGTAAACAATAATAATGTTTCAAACACTTTGACACAAGAGTAACATTTCTGTAGCTTAGATATGAACTTGCAGAATTTTTTGAATGACCTGAGTCGAATTTGAAATGTTGGTGAAATGTCTATTTTTCCTTAAAATATTATAAAACGAGAGAAAATATTTCAAGACTTTTTGGAGAACCCTCATATAATTTCTGTTTATTTCAGCTTGATGCAGACAAAGAAATGTTTGATAAGAGCATTGGACCCATTGTTGAAAAGTAAGTAAATTATACAAATGATACGGGGTCTTATAATTATTATTTAAATTTTATAAATGGTCTGAACACAATTAGACTTCTGACACTATATCCAATTTAAAATATTAATGAGTTGTTTTTCTTGCAGGCACCAAAGATATCGGAAATATTTCACCAAAATCTTTGACCACATCTTCACGCTCAAATTTGACGACAAGTAAGAGAAGTTTTGTTTCTCATATACTTAAGTAAATGTTAATACCTGTATACCATATCTTTTGGAAGAAGGAGAGAACCTATATTATCCAGATCTTGTTTTGTTTAAAAGTTTTATTAAAGGACAACTGAAATAGGTTTTCTCAACTTGCAGCTACAAAAAAATGTGGTTTTTCTTCATTGTAAGCCCAACGTAGAGTTCTTGCGATAGCCAATATTAGAGAAATGTTAGATAACTGTTAATGGTCATAAATAACTTAATAAAATTAACTGATCAATCAGATTGGCCCCCATGTGATTAACACATAATATATAGTTTTGGTTTATTGGTTCATTGGTAATCACCACATCACGGCAACCATATGATTGTTGTGTAAACAAATAACAAAACATCTGGTATTATGACGTCATGATTTAATGGACCAAAACAGGCCGCGTGGGGACCAGTGAGAGATCACGTGGGGGCCAATAACGTCACAACCTATTTGAATACTGCTTATTAAGCAGCTATAACGATCGTTAGAGTGAAATAATTTTCACATTACTGATGAGAAAACATGTCCAAATACATTTATCAAAAAATTATATTGATTCCTTTAGGTCAAAAATACCATTTCATATCTGCTTTAGTAGGAATTGGGGGGGGGGTTGTTTTCTTAAAATCTCACTGGACATGGGATATAGGATCTGTCATCATTGTAGTTGTACCTGAGGTTCTGGAGGTGTTATGGTACGTGTAATCTGGCAATGTAATCTAAGGGTATATTGTTCTGAAATTTCAGATGCACATTATTGTAAAGCTTACCATATTTTGATTTTATTGAGATTCTGAAATAGTAAAACTAAAAAAATATAGACAGTATTCCCTTTTTCTAAAATAGATGGCAGTGGATATTTGTGTAACATCCACATAAGTGAAATCCACATAATACAAATGGGAGTTTTCTCACTGTTCTCTATGGGTAACTTTTCAAACTTTTCAAGTATAATCAGAAATAAGCAATTTTCTTGGCAGACTGGTAACATTGAGGGAACAGAAGTGACAAAACAAATCCAAATAAATGATAACAGACTTGTAACATCAATAATATGGATATTATGCAATGTTTATTTTCATGTTGAAATGGTAAATGTTTTTGTCTAAATCAACATTTCATTCTTAAGAGTCTTACCAGTAATAATTAACTTGAAACACTCCATCATATATATAATATGAAACACAATAATTATGATTTCACAAAATAATGTAGTGAATTGAATATTATACATTCCAGTGAAATAAAAAGAATGCAGTTCATATATCTTTAAAATAGAGATTATGATAACCTTTTTTGCTAATGTTTTATCTTCATTGCTTTGGGGCCGGAATTCTGAGCTTACTGACACTAACAGTCTGACCTTTAACTCCAAGCTTACAAATTTAATCCCAGTATATATTGTGAGGATAATGATTGAAGTTACATTTGGCACACTTATAATCCTTGAGTCAGCCTAGGCCCTGTCATAATGTCACAAGGAAACCATAAAAGCCAAGACTAATACAGATTTCCCCCCATATTTTGTCACCACCACAAGTTGTGACGGTGACATATTGTTATTATAGTCTCTCATCTTTTTTTTGTGGTTGCATTCGGTAGTTGGAGTTTGGATTTTGTCTGTAACAAATGGCAGGTGGTGACATTTTGCATGTTGATGGTAGTTGTTTATTGATAATCTCTGATTTGGTAAATTTTGACAATGTAAGCCAGTTTTAAATGGACTACATATCTATGGTAAATGATATACCAAAGTGTATGTCAACTATCTATTTGCTCATTACAGATGATTTGTCTCAAACTTAGCTCACCAAAAAAACTTAAAAACACAAAGAGCAACATTTGAGAATACAGATGGACAGAAAAGACCCTAGAATAAAAATCAGAAATTAATCGGAGAAACCAATTAGCTTTAAATCACTTTTCTACAATATACAAAAATGATAATATTCTTGATAAATGTCCTCTTATGTCCTTTATACTGTAAATATTTGCAAAAGGCCCATTAGCACTAAAGCCATAATTTAAGTCCCCTTGCTCAACTTACTGTGATGGCCAGGTATACAGTTTGATGTCACTGTTTTGCCTTAGGAGATTTTTGTCCCAAGTTCAGGTCAATTAAAGTTTAGGTGTTAATTTAGGTAATTTAGCTTCAGTGTCACATTGGATTTTAATTTAGCATGGAATTCATTAATGTGAGTCTAGACCTACAAAAAACATGTTTAGCTGTTTACAATTTTTTAGAATTAATTGAATGTGTGTTTGAGATAAAACAGCAATTGTAAACTGTCTTGATTTATCCTTGATCTAATGTAATACATAACTTCAGTTGTAGAATGGGCTTGTATGGACAAATCACATACAACTTATGAAGGTGATATTGTTATTCATGTCTTTGATCTCACAATACGTGCTGGTGAACATGCACTTGCATCACAATTCACTTGTGTTTTTTATGATTTATATTAGAGAACTTACACAATGGTTTCCGTCTGGAGGGAATCTCTTGTGATACATGTATGAGGCCATTAAAAGTTTAATATATGTTTAACATTCCCTCCCCTTGATTGAGGCAAATTTTCAGAAAACAAACAATAATTACATGTACACCCCCAATCCGCACTCTGAAATCACTGCACCGTATGGAATAATAAGAGTATGGTACTGTTCGAGTTGGGTATTGTACAGTGTTCATGGTACCGTATGGTATCATTTTAGTCTATCGTACCATATTTATGGTACTGTACAGTACTGTAGCCAAAATGGCACCATACTTTGGCTGTATATAAGTGCCTAAAGTAATTATGCATTTTTGTGAATTTTGTGAAATTCTTTTATTATTGTGATCTTAGGTCATATATTAGTGAAAGGAGTTCCCAGATTGAAAACTGTATGTACGATCATACATTAGTTTTACTTTAGTGATGTCTTGATTAAAAAGTTCTCATGAATTCAAGGGGTGTCACTTAATAATATAAAATCTGAATAGAAATACAATAAATTATTTCTATCCTCCTAAGATTTCGCCCTTTATCAGGATGTTAAGCTTTGAATGGCCTCACTCTGCACACTGTTTTGTTTTTGATTTCCTTTATTGCTTATTGTAATAAACCAAATGTAGTCTTGAAGAAAAAGTTCAGTAAGCTAATTATTTTATTCAAATTTCTAAAATAACGTGTTTCCAGATGTCCTGTTATAATGTTGTACAGTATGAAAGATGACAGTCACCGCATCCTGGTGTCATAGCAACAGTCACTTATAACTAGAAACAAGGATGTTATGGGAACAGCCATATGTTAATGCAGGGATGTCATAGCAACAACAACGTCATAGCACAGCCATATAGTCACAACAAGAGCAGCTGTCTTATAACAGTGATGACATAGCTACAGCCAAGTAATAATTATGTCAATAGTTGCATGGCGAAAGCCTGCAAGTTATCACAGGATAGCCTAGCAACAGTTCTCTAGTTGTCATAGCAACAGGAATTTAACTAATACCACATGACTATCATAGCAACAACAATCTTGTGCCATATGTGTCCCCTGACAGGGCTTAAAGTTGGAAAAAGGATGTATTCAGAAAAAGTACTTAGGAATCTCAGGTTATAGATATACCCAGAGTATATGTACTTGACATATTAACTTCCCACTAGAGGGTTGTCAGGTAGTTAAAATGTGCCAAACGGACATACAATCTCTTGGGGGTCGTTCTTATTGTCATAAGTTAGATTAAACATCTGGCTCTCTTGTTCTTTTCTTCCATACTAGGACACATTTTATTGGATTGCCAAATTTGAGAAGTTAACAATATATCTTAGTTGAATTATAGACCTACTGAGAGGAGAAGGTGTTTTAAATGACAGTTTGATGTTTGCATATGGGACCAATGCAAAGTTGATGTACTTCAAGGAATCACCATTCCAGATGTCAATTCTAACACATTCAGTTCTTCTTGACTGTCTCAAATGAAATTCTAATTGAATTTCCATTTTACCATATAGGTATTGATATAAAAGAATTTGAGTCTATAAAAAAACTGAAGAGAACTGAATTTAAGTTATCATTATTTATTTTAAAGGATTCATAGTAATGTATATTCTGAAAATATGTTAATCCTACATATCATTGAAAATGTTATATATATTTATATGTGCAATACAGTAGAGTACAATACAAACCTTAAAGGCCCCATGTAAAGTTTAAACCACTTTGGCTTATATTGTAGTCTTACCCTATGTTATCAAAGTGTGATATGTGAAACTTTTTTTTTAAATTTCAAAAAGTGGTTTTTGATAGACTTTTTGTTCCAAAATTTGTGAATATATTTAAAACCAACTTTTAGAGGTAACTCATATCTTCTAATTAGCCACAATTCATACCAATGCATAGCATTCATCCTCCCATGTTTTTTGCCGAAAAAATTAAGAAAATTGGTTGATAAACAAGCGAGAAATGAACTTATCAGTGCATGAAAATGGTTCTGAGAAAAATGCATTTCAAAATTTTAGTTCTCATAGAAACCAATGGTACAATGATATCTAAAACATAATTTATTCTTCCTTTTTACCTGGTTAGACAACTAACATTGGTTTTTTATGAAAATCTAGCATATTTAGAAAAGATTGACATCGAAAAAAAAAATTCAATTTTTTTCAAAAAGTTTTTGTTACCTTAGTGACATCACTAATGTTTCAAAATATTTTTGATAAGCTAAAACATTGAAGTGGCCCATTAAATATGACATTTTATTATTGAAATAGTGTGTCTTTTGTTCAATCTTTGCATTGGTGTTAAAAAGATAATCTTTTTTGAAATGCATTGAGAAATATTTGATGATTAAGAAATTTCAACTTTTTTTGAAAAATGGCGGGAAATTTGAATACTGTAAAACGGGTAATTTTGACACCGGGAAATTTTAGCGATTTTTCAATTTGAGGGGGTTTTAGCGCGGGAAATTTTAGCGAAATGAAGATTATTCTTTAAAAAATCAAATTAGCAAAATGCATTAGAAATTTTATCATTTATGGCAGAAGAATGAATAACGGACATGACAGAGGAATTATCAAAATGTAAGACTTCTAATGCACATGGTATTGGTCCAAACTACTGTAATCTCATCTCACTAATCACAAAATCACGGTAGCATTTAAAATATTGAAAGAAACAAACGATTTAAAAATATTTACCTTTTTCAAATTACAAACAGGAAGTTGAGCACTGAATGAAAAGCTCCTTATATACTAGTATTCATGTAGTTTCCCGGGAATTTGCAAATTTTAGCGCCCGGTTTATTTAACCCCGGTTTATTTTAGCGAATTGAATTTTTAGCGAAACTGTAGCGATCGCTAACAATCGCTAACAATTACCCCTCGCTAACAATACCCGTTTTACAGTATTTGAGAAATGAAATGCTCACAACTTTTTTTTCAAAAAATTTTTTTTGTTCAAAAATCTCTAAAATCACTTTTTAAGTCCTGACAAATAGTAAATGAATGATAAAAAAATATTTTCAAACTTTAGACGGGGACTTTAAACAATTTGTTTATTTTGATTTGATGGGTAAAGGAACACTGCATGTCTTTTACCATTGATCACAACAGAATTGTGTTCTATAGCAAGTCAACTTGCCCTACAGTCAAGGTCCCAGACTTATTCAGTAATCAAAATTATGGGTCGAGAAACATGTATACTGCCTAAAGCATAATAAGTGTGTGTAGTATTGCAGGTTAGCTTACCCGACAGTACTACATTCAATTGAAAAATATTATACATGAGGATTGTGTTATGGGAGGTTTTGGATATGGGGTATATCCTGAGGGAAATATAGATATCTTACCTCAGACCCCAAGGCCCTCGGTAAGATATCTATATTTCCCTCCAATACCACAACCCTCATATATGTGCAATACTGTAAAAGTACAAACCTTATGCAATTTGTTTATTTCTTTTGATTTGATTTGATGGGTATAGAATTTCTGCATGTCTTTTACTATTGATCACAATAGATTTGTGTTCTATAGCAAGTCAGCCTGCCCGACAGTCAATGTCCTAGACTAACATAGGATTTGTGTAGGTTATGTGGATCAGCACAACATAGGTCATGGGAGGTCAAAACCAGTTTAATATGTTACATAAAAGTTGAGGTACAATTATTATGTGATTCATTTGTATTGGTGTAGGTAGTTTCACTACCATTTCCGTGATTTACCTTCATTTATTTTATCTGGTTATATCTATTTATTTTTTTAACAAAGAATAATCCCAACCTCTTAATGCGGATGTACTTAGCCCACACACTTCTTCATATATTATATTCTTCACCTATATGTGTATGACGACATTGTTATGAACTTAACTGACATACCTATTTAATTTCTATGTTATGCACATTGCAGGTACAGCACCATGGTACAGTGAAGTCTGTATAATCCAAACAGTGAACACCACTGGTATTGGACAAATGTGTTCAGATACTGAGGTGCTAACATTTAAAGTTTTTATAACATGGGAGTCAATGGAAGAGAAAACTTGGACACAAAAGGTGTTTTGATAATAGAGATGTTCTGATTAGAGGTGTTCTGAAAAACAAGTACTTCTGTAGTTTTTCGGAATGCACTGCTTCAGACATTCAGTTCTATATAATTTTATAACCTATTTCTTTGAACACATGGTCTTTTGTGCTTAAACTATGTTTTTGAGTTATTTTGTATAGCTCTTATACAATTAAAACAAATTCCACATCAGAAAGAAAATGTTTAGAGGGACTTGTTCAAGTTTTCAACCACTGCCAATGTCAATTCATTTTAACATGCAAAAGTCTAAAATAGCCTACTTATATACATGACTTGTCAAATCTTGAAATTCTATTGCATTCTATAAAACAGCAAATTTTATTGAGTCAATGGGTCTAGATTAGAGAGACTCAGCCGCAAATATGCTCTCAATTCAACTGTTTTTGCACTTTTTCTGTGTAGTTGTTTGTATTTGCACTTGTCAGTTGATTTGAAGTGTTCGATTTCCATATGAAGTAAGCTAACACGCTACTTGACAATGAAAAGTGAAAACATTCAATAAAACAGTCTTTCTGTACAGGGGTGAATCGAGGTTTATTCCAAATGAATAGGAGGCCGAAATTTGACTTAATAGGGTTTGCACATGTGATAAAAAACTGAATTAAAATATTTGGATCAAAAAAATATTTTTGTAAGGTAAGTATCGGCGTATGCATAATCCACATTGTTTGGTGGATACCTGATGCGCCACCCCTAAAATCCATCACTGCTTCGTACCCCCTGACTCAGTGCCTTGGGGTTATGTTTAGGTTTAGGTACCTCGAAGAAAATGCACTAACACACATATGTCAGTGAATAGTACAATGTTTATTCCATGTCAATAGCCATTTAAAGGTAGACATTTTAGAGTTAGATTATAGTATTATATTCATACAATTATTCACTTAATCTCTCCCACCAATCAGAAAGTTCATATCTCTCAATTATTAACATATGTTTGATTTATAAATCTAAGAAACCCTTTAAATAAAGTTTGAATAAATTGTCTCGCATGTTTTATAACGTGACAATCTTTAAACAGATTGAACGTTTTGCATCATAATTGTTCATTCAAATCTGAACTTCCCATTTGTAATTTAAAAACCACAATATCTAGGCATTATAAAAGATATAGTTTCATATTTCTTCTTCTTAAGTATTAAATCTTTCATCACCGATAGACTTAAAAACAAATTTCATGTAAACATCAAAACTTGAAAAAATTGTATACTACATAGAGTAAGTTCTAAAATCTATTGGGTAGGTCTACAAGTACATGTTGCTCATAGAATTCTTATACCTGATTTATTCGCTAACTAGATGAGAATTTTTTTGAATACAGTATTTACAAAAATATAGTTGTATCAATCTACTGACTGTTAAAGTTACATGTCGTTCTGAAATGTATTTATTTTGGTGTATTTTAGAGCTAAAACTTAGTGATTGATCCACTTTAACCTTACAAGATTTCGGCTTTAGAATGTGTACATTAGCAATTGCACCTCCAGGGGTTGTATTAATATTCAGTCTAGAATGGTAAAATTATCAAATGTCTGTTATAAATAACAAAGTGTCATGGGCTGAAACTGATAACAACGAGATGCTAAAGTAGTTTGAAGGCACTATGACATTGGTACCACTACAAAAACAACTGGAAATGAATATTCTGATTTTTCTTTCAATTATGATGCAATATTAATGGCTTCATCCTGACATACTTCTTTAAAAAAATACACAGGTGTATAAACAGATAAAGGTAAGTTCTTTTATCCGACACAGAAGATCAAGGTGACATTTGAAATCCATCAAAGTGCTAAAAATACAATCTTGATAGATATACATCTTAAACTCTTTCATAATGTTGTAAACAAACATCACCTGCTTGTCTATCAGTCTATACCAATCTTAAAATACAAATTTAGAAATGACACCCATTGCAACAATTGACCCATACAATTCATAAATACAACAGTTGACCTGTACAATACAGAGAAACCACTTGGAACTTCTATACAATATCTATTATGCTCATTTCTCTATTCGATCTATTTTTGATGTGACACTACTGGTATTTTATTCATGGCTCTGTTGTAGGAAATGACTGTGGTTTAAACTTACCTCATCACAGATAATTCACGACATTGGTGTAAATTTCTCGACTTATCAGGCTATTTACATACAGATGCGTTCGCTCTTTATGTTTTGAAACCTTGCGTTGGTTTGTTATTTCTGGTGTCTCCCACGCAAAGTCTATGAATAGTCCACAATGTGTTGCGTTTAGCATCATCACTTGGCATGGTGTAAGATGTATCACTTTACTGATATAGTTTCATTTTACTGATTGCTGACACAAATTTGGTGATCATTTACATGTAGAATGGGGTTTGATAAAATTTAATAGGTTACTAGCCCAGCTGACAGGATCTTGCACCCTTTGAGCGGTCCTATGGAGTTGAATGCAGCAAAATGGGTGATCACACAAAGCTGAAAGCAATGTCTAGGTGATCTTGCAAAGCTGAATCAAATGTCTTGCACAAACTTGATAATCACATGAGGCCTAAAGCAACATCTGGCCTCAAACTGGATGATCATGCAAAGCTAAATGCAACTTCTGACACAAATAAGGTGATCACACGTGGCCTTAAAGCAAGGTCTAAAAAACTGGGTAAAAAGCACCAACTGAATGATCACACAAAGCCGAATGATAAATCTTACACAAACTGTGAGATCGCACAAAGCCGAATGCAATATCTTGCACAAACTAGGTAATCACACAAGGCCTAAAGCAAGCTCTGGCACAAACTTGGTCATCATGCAAAGCTAAATGCATCTTCTGACACAAATAAGGTGATCACACGTGGCCTTAAAGCAAGGTCTAAAAAACTGGGTAAAAAGCTAAATGCAATGTCTTGCACATACTGGGTGATCACAAAAAGCCGAATGATAAATCTTACACAAACTTTGTGATCACACAAAGCCGAATGCAATATCTTGCACAAACTAGGTGATCACACAAGGCCCAAAGCAAGCTCTTGCACAAACTTGGTCACCATGCAAAGCTAAACGCAGCTTCTGACACAAATTTGGTGATCACACGAGGCTGGAACAAACTGATCACACAAATCTAAAAGTAATGTCTGGTCTAACTTTGTTGTCACGCAAAATTGAATTCAACGTCTGATTCAAACTTTGTGATCGTGCAACGCTGAGTGCACACTACTTGTCTCATTTAGTCATCATGCATAGGTGAATGTAATGGTTATCATGCAAAGCTGAATGCAAGGTCTGGTACAAACTAGGTGATTACACAGACCCGAAAGCAATGTCTTGTCTAACTTGGTTATCAGGCAAAACTGAATTTAACGCCTGTTGCAAACTTGGTGATGATGCAAAGTTGAATGCAACGTCAGGTGCAAACTATACGATCATGCAAAGCTGAATGCAACGTCAGGTGTAAACTATATGATCATCCAAAGCTGAATGCAATGTCAGGTGCAAACTTGGTGATCATGCAAAGTTGAAAGCAACGCCAGGTGCAAACTATATGATCATCCAAAGCTGAATGCAACGTCAGGTGTAAACTTGGTTATCATCCAAAACTGAATTCAACGCCTGGTGCAAACTTGGTGATCATGCAAAGTTGAATGCAACGTCAGGTGCAAACTATATGATCATCCAAAGCTGAATGCAACGTCAGGTGCAAACTTGGTGATCATGCAAAGTTGAAAGCAACGCCAGGTGCAAACTATATGATCATCCAAAGCTGAATGCAACGTCAGGTGTAAACTTGGTTATCATCCCGGAAACTGAATTCAACGCCTGGTGCAAACTTGGTGATCATCCAAAGCTGAATGCAACGTCAGGTGTAAACTTGGTTATCATCCAAAACTGAATTCAACGCCTGGTGCAAACTTGGTGATCATGCAAAGTTGAATGCAACGTCAGGTGCAAACTATATGATCATGCAAAGTTGAATGCAACGTCAGGTGAAAACTTGGTGATCATGCAAAGTTGAATGCAACGTCAGGTGCA